AACGTTCTGCTGATCCAGTTTTGAAAATGAAATCTCGTCCCCTGCAAGGTCAGCGTGACCGTACAGACAGAGTGCATTATCAGAGTGGACAGGATGTTTGATTTATATTGATGTGCTCTGATTGGATGGGATTGAGTCTGACAGCTGAAGGGGATCCACTCTCTCGCTCTCATGGCGTGTGTCATGTACCGTTAGAGGAGTCCGAATTAAAGCGAAACTCACTCTGCAAAATAACCTCAGATCAGCCTTATAATCAATTAACAGCAAGACAATGTGACGTTTCCTATATATGATATCACTGACCAAAAATAATCACACTCTCAGTATTATCAGTGTTGTTAAATTATACTGAAAAGGTTAAAAAGCATTAAAGCACAGCGAAATCATTTCACCGCCATTATTAAACTGAACTTTTCATACTTCTTTATGACAACAAGACACTGAACTACATTTTAAATAAATGTGAAATTATCACCAACACTACTACTGTTGTTCGGATATTAGTGTATGAATATGAAGTCCTGTTCAGAGACTTGACCTCCCACTGACTGTGATTGGTCCTAATCACTGCATTGTTAGTTCTGAGACCTCCCACTGACTGTGATTGGTCCTAATCACTGCATCAGTAGTTCTGAGACCTCCCCCTGACTGTGATTGGTCCTATCACTGCATCAGTAGTTCTGAGACCTCCCCCTGACTGTGATTGGTCCTATCACTGCATTGTTGGTTTTGAGACCTCCCACTGACTGTGATTGGTCCTATCACTGCATTGTTGGTTCTGAGACCTCCCACTGACTGTGATTGGTCCTATCACTGCATTGTTGGTTCTGAGACCTCCCACTGACTGTGATTGGTCCTAATCACTGCATCATTAGTTCTGAGACCTCCCCCTGACTGTGATTGGTCCTGTCACTGCATCATTAGTTCTGAGACCTCCCCCTGACTGTGATTGGTCCTGTCACTGCATCATTAGTTCTGAGACCTCCCCCTGACTGTGATCGGTCCTAATCAATGCATCAAATACTGATGACAGCGTGTTCAGTGATAGGTCATGTTCGTTATATATATATATATATATATATATATATATATATATATATATATATATATATACATATATATATATATACAAATGTATATTATATTACAATATAATATAGTTGTATGTGTACAACACTTACTGTATTTTAATAGAATATAATAGTTATGTAATATCCTGTGTAGTATACTAAAGTAATTGCTTAAATTCATAACTTCTTATAGGAATCTTGTAGAATTACTAAAGCCATATTTAAAAATTAGATCACCCCGATTTCTCTGTGAATATAAGTAAATAATGTGAAAACATGTCCTCTACAAGGAACACACTTAAAAATGGCATCATTCAAGTATTTGTTAAATTTAGCATATTGGACAATATAAAACTACATTTCACATTTCTAATGTGTTAAACTCTAATATGATAAGCCAAATAAATGCAATAATTGTGCACACAAAATATTTTAAAATGTGTGTGTTAACATTAAACCGCTGGATCAGGACATTCCTACTGCTTTATATAATGCCCAGTAAGCGTCCATCTCTAAGTGGGAACAAACAAGTAGTTTTTGTGAGCACGTCAATACAGGTTCACTCAGAGCTGAATGAGGTCAGATGATAAGAATGAAAACAATACAACTTACTGGAGCAGCTAAAAAAATCATGTGAATCTCATTTTGACTGAATAAAGCTTCTACATTCACACCGTTCTCATGACTCAAACCTGAAGCCTGTGTCAGCCCTCTCTCTCTCTCTCCCTCTCTCTATCTCTCTCTCTCTCTCTCTCCCCCTCTCCCTCTCTCTCTCTCGGCCATTCCCACGCTGTGATCTGCTCCAAGACGCGTCACAGACTAAGCTTAAAATAAGTGACCCTCTCTATCTCACATGCACATCCAGCAGGAAACGCATCACTCACAGTCTGCATCTACCCACCTACCGCATCACAGCATCACACACTGAGGGGAGAAGAGGAAAAAGGATTTTTTTAACAAAGTCATTTACTTTTTTCCACTTGATGTGGGAGTTGATGGTTTGGTCTTTTAAATAGTGAACAACTCACGTACGTGTTTGGGTAGATTTAAATATATTTTTGGTTTCATTTCTTTTATTAAGCATTTAATCACATAAATCTTCCCTTTATGTTCCCATAAAAGTTCCCCTATTAAAACACAGGAGGAGGTTACTGTAATAGTTTAAAGGAACTGATCGTTCTGGGTTGAGGATTTAGTGTAGTTATGTAATAACAGCCAACTCAGGTAAGTAATTATAGTTACCTTACAGTGGGGATCAATGTGGAACACGCTTTCCATGAATGTCACTGTGAGGTTTTTGTGATTGTACATTTTTACAGCACTAATCGTTGTGTTTTGCAGTGCAGATGAGCACTTTTTGGAGTGAAACGTACAAAAAAAAAGCATACATTAGGCCCAATACAGGCTTCAGTACAGACCAGGCCAATTAATATTATCATTAAGTCCAGTCAAGTCCCTTCCAACCCATCATATGGATGGTGTTTCTCCAGAATATCCTGTCTACTGTTTGGGTCTTCAGGCTTCTCAAAGGCTGGTTCACGATTCCTCTGATTGTCTCCATCCATCTTGTAGCTAGTCATCCTCTTATTCCTTTACCTTCAGCTCTTCTAATCATAATGATCTTTTTCAACGAATCGGTTCTTCTCAGAATGTGTCCAAAGTAAGCTTCAGTTTGGTTATCTAGGCTTTGAGTGAGAGGTGAGGCCGTGAGTGCAGCGACACCCGACCTGCTCAATCCAGTATTGACTATGACATTGATGTTGTCCGTACAGCTGGAGGAGGTTCATACTGAGACCTTGTACAATTACATAAACTTTACGCTCATTTAAACCGTTTACAGTTTACTGCATTGATCTGTAATGGTTTACAATAGAAATCAATCATTTTGAAACTGGATAAATCTTTTTGAATCACCCTGTATTATTATTATTAGTAATATTATTTGTAGTAGTACAGAGAACACACATCTGCACATTTTAATACATGATCACTGTTTATTTGCTGAGTTTAACATATCGGAAAAAACAAACAATAGTAAATGTGCAAAAGTTACAGCGCATTCTATATTTTATGGGATTTTTTCCACAATATCTTAACATAGCAAATAAACAGAGGACGTAGTAACCTATTTCATTTCCCTATGAAAATATTTGGATCTCGCTGTTGTTGGAAGAAAATCTCATATCTCCAAAATGGTAACTTTACAGGAGAAGGAAAAAGAACTCTACTTTTAATGTAAGTCAATGGAACCAGAGTTTTTTCCAAGTCATTTTGGGTCATTTCTTTTGGTCCATTCATCATGAAATTTACACACAATGTATAAGACAGCAGGCATTTTCGAATTATGTCAGAAACTGAAAAACGAGGTTTTATTCTGACAGCAGCGATATGACTGTATACTACTGTTTAAAAGTTTGATCACTGTTTTCAATAATAAAAAACAGTGGAAAAGTTAGACTGTGCAACTTCACGGCTTTCATTAAATACATAGAAAGATATTAAAGAAATGGTGGAGGTATCGAGAATGATGAACAGAGCTGCGGAAGATTTTAAATGGCTGAGAAAGCTGCACATCAGGAATGATTAAAATTGATTAAAAATGATGGTGTTTTATTACAGTATAGTATGTGACTGAAAATCATCTAAAATACCTTTCGAGGTTTAATTTATAAGATATATACATATAATTAACTTAACATGTGATTTCAAATTTTTGAAGAATAGTGTATTATAATTATTACTCAACATAAGCAAATGTGCTGTATTATTGTACTATTATTATCATTATTATTAGTTCACTAATATACATACATACATACAGGTATACATATATTTGCTCGTTTCTTTAGTTCCATATACACTTATGGAAACGTTATGGATATGTTATATATTGCGTGTATATATGTGTATATATATACACGCAAATACATCAGATGCAGATTAAGTTTATTATTATAAACACATTTTGAGCTAAAATGATAACACTGCCCACGCTGAAACAGATTTAGTTTAACAAAGCTGAGGCTGATCAGCAGCACCAGCTGATGCCATGCACGAGTGCGTGGGGAGGGTGTGGGGGTTGTTGGGGGACAGACATGACGTCACCATTCCGCCCAAGCCTACACTCCTGTAATATATACACACACACCACACGCATACAGAATTACAGCGCCCCCTGTGGCCAGGGGGAGGGAGGGGAGGCAACAGACCACCATGCCTCACCTGCCCTCACTGTTCGGTCCACCAAACCCTGGACAATCTGATCTTTCTCTCTTTAATTCACTCACAGCATCAACATGCATGCAGAGTGGGTGATTTTAATTTTTTCATTTTGACCATTTAACAAGCCAGAGAAACGTAAACAGCACCAGCAGAGCTCCTCACTACAGCGTGTCCAGTGTGTCACCACCTAATGTGCCCAAGCATATGAGAGAGAATGGAAGTTTTCACGCATTACTGGAGAACATCATGTTCCTGGACAGATTTCCAGGTTAAAATAGTGTTAGGTTTTATTCAAAGTAGCCCAAAATCATAGCTGGATCTCATGAGATATTAATCAGAAGGCCACAGCAGCTCTTTCTAGTGTTCAGTGCGGAGATTCAGTCTCATTTGTTTCTTTAGGTGAAGCTTAAAACACTGATTCTGATTCGAATTTTCCGTTCCACCTTAAATGGTGCAGCATTTCCATTCTGGCGCTTGAGGTTCCATTCTGAACTGATGCACCATTTAAGGTGGAACGGAAAATTCGAATGTGAAGCTGGCAAATATTTGTAAACAAAACACAGCAGATCGACTCAAATGACACTGATTAGCGACACTGCTGTCAATCAACGACGGAAACCCCGGACATTATAAATCAGCCAGAAGCTTCAACCGCTGGAAAAGCATCTTTAAGCGTGGCCTCTGAAGCAGGAATGCCCTTTCACTCACCGTAGCTGGGTCTCAGACTGGTCATCTCAGCCATGTTGAGAGTCCGGTCAACGGGTTGCGTTCAGAAGAGCAGAATAAATAAATGAAAAAAATCCAAATTAAAAGTACAAAATGAAATATACAAAATGTTTATTTGATCCCCATAAATGACGCCCTCATGTTTCTCTGGTCTCAGTGCGTTCAGCTCAGCCTCGCAGACGCGCCTCCTCCTCCTTCTCCTCCTCAGCAGGAGTGATGCTCAGGGTGGATGTGGACACGAACAGGAGGGGAGGGAGCATTAGCGCCCCCCAAAGGTGCTGCTGAGAAGCGCGGTGCAGCATGTTGTGGTGGTTGTGTAATGCGCTGATGGTCTCTCCAGTCTTGCGGTGCGTCCCAGTCAACGGCTCGCATACATTTCAAAGGGGAATTCCACCAAATTTTCAGATTTCTTTAGGTGATAGGAAGCAGGGGTCGCCATGTTTACAACACAACCATTTTATTTGCTATCCCGAACCACCAGTGAACCTACATGTGTCTTTTGAGTTTTTATATGAATGTTGATAATGATAAAATAGTGGAAAATCTGGACGTTTTCTTTGGGGACTACTTTGCCTTACAACACCTTACATGTATCCATCCACCACAAATGTGCTTAAATGATAAGGTTTAGGCCAAAATCTTCTCAAACTATAATGAAATAGTGTCCCAGAAATCAGGCAGTGAATTCATAACCATTTCATGTAGTAACTTTCTGTGAGGGAGCTTTTAGAGATGGACGTCTGGTTCCTATCACCACCACTGTGAATAATTCTGACTCGGTAAGTTTCTCTAGAACAGAGCATTTCACACCAAACCGCTCTGAATGAGAAAATGTGACTCCTAACAACCACCTGGAAGAGCTGGTGGACCCCAAAACTGACCCCTATCAGATAAACAGCACTTAAAGCTTTCATCTCTGAGAGAGAGGAGAAAATCAAGCTGCTTCAGATCTGAAAACATCCACAGGTGTTTCTGTCCATCCTTCCACTGTGAGAAGACGACTCAGCGTTGTGGGTCTGAAAGGATGTGTAGCTGTTCAAGAAGAACCTTACTGAGAAAAGGAAACGGACACATCAAACAAAGAAGCTGAACAGTGGACTGACCACCCCAGAGTCCAGACCTCAACACCACTGAATGTGTTTGATTACTTTAGAAAATGATCAACCAGCTTCTAAGACTGAACTTTGGAGGCGTGTCTGCAGATTCTTTGAGAAACTGAAAGTGAGTCTCCTGAAAAGAATGGAAGCTGTAGTAAAGGTAAACAGTGGACACAGTGAATGCTGGAAAAAGTATATTATGTTTTTGAGGCTTCTGTGTAATTTTAATATAATATGTTTTCTGATTTTTTTTCTGATGCTGAAAAATGAATGACTTGTACTTACCGGCAGTTTTGATTGGAAGTGAAATAAATGAAGGGGGTCTCTGACCTTTGCACAGTACTGTATACACCGTAAAGGCGCTGTCAGCTCAACACCTGCAAATATTATTAAAAGTTACATTGCAAAAAAGTACATCCTTAACAATAATTTTAGCTTTTTCGACCAATCTGTGGTGTTTTACTTGTCATGCACAAATACTTTCTCTATGTTGAAGGTCATTTTCCATTTACAGGGATCTCAAAACTGATTTTGAAGCATTAGCTTGGGTGTCAGTTTGGGGTTTATGGGTCTCTCCCTGCAGAGGAGCCTGGTTTGTATGATGGAATAACTGCCTGAGGGTGTTGCTAGAATTGACACTGAGCAGTCAGACTCGTCTTTGAGGCCTTGTTTTCCCACTTATACAGCTGACTGCGTAGACAGTAGGGAGCAAGGCAGATCACTAGTTATTGAGACAAACCCTGGAACGTGCAGTGCAGAGAGACTCCAGGGCAGGATTGGGAACCTCTGGCATTCATGAATTTTTGAATGAAGTTGGCCCATGGCTGTTTTTTATTAGCCAGTTTTTGTGGTTGTTATTATTATTTATGTGTTTTAAACTGATGCTTACACTGGGCTAAATGAACACCAGCACATTTACAGGACATTTTATTGGCCAAAGTTGCAATACAAGTAATAAAATAAAAATGATTTGTTCTTTAGTGGGCTGAGCTGGTATTTTAAAGTGCCTGTATCATGGAAAACAAATTTCACTAATTTTAAAAAATAGTTTGTGTATTATGTAAACATTGCTACATTTAAAGTGTCCTGTTCACTCCCCAGTCCGCACATCTCATATATGGAAACTGAGCTGCATAAACAGCCTGTTTTGAATTCAATTGTTTCTGTGATGTCACAAAAACCAACACATTTACATTCATCCCACATTTATTCAGCTACAGCGGTTTAGCCCCGCCCATTTAAACCAAAGTTATAGTGTATAAGTGTTTCAGCTCTAAAGGGGTTTTTTGAGGCACAGCCAATCACAACGGAGCTAATTTACATACATCAGCCTTAAAGGAGCGATAACAAATACAGCCTGTTTAAGTCTAAGTATTAAAGAGAAAAATTGTCATGCAAACATGACTTATGACTATTTTTGGCACATAAAATGACAAAACATTGTAAGTGCAGCTCAAGGGGAAAAATAGAGTACAAGAAAAATATAAAATATGGGCTTTTTTAAATTATTAAATGGAAAATCAGTTGCCTGAAATCAAACAAAGAGCTACACTGACTGTTTAGCACAATGAGTCGTGTATATTTATGGTATGATATTTTTGGTACAGTTGCATTAAAATACAGCGTGATTTCACCCGCCTGCCTCACCTTATTTACCTCATAAAACTGTGACAGAGATCAGACCAAATCAACATCAAAAAAATAGTTTGGTCGATTGCGTGTTTGGACTCGTCCAACTTCAATCATTGCGAAAATGTAGTAGTGTTGAGTTCATTATGATCATTATTTATTATAATCAGCTCATTCCACATCTGTCAGTTTCGTTTTGGTAAAGTGTTCCTTTAAAGGAGTTTCAGCTCCATATTGTTTAGGCAGTTTCTTTGCAGACGTCTGCGGGTTTGCATCCAAAATGTCTCCTGAGTTCATGATCCGTCAATGAACACAAGCTCAGTGACAGCAGTGTAATAAAAACAGCTCAAGACTGTTGTTCCCTCCTCTGTGTGTTACAGAACTCTAAGTCCAGTCTGGATGGAGTTCTTCTCCTGTTACGTTGTGCCAAAAGTACTTTACTGTACTTTAGTAAAAGTAGAAATATTCTATATATATTTCTACTCTAGCTGATGCTCAAAACTACTTACCTGGTCCTGCCTTCTCGTTATCTGTCTCACCTGTCTGTTGTCTGTATCCTCTCATTAGTCCCAGGTGTTTCTAGTCTGTTCTATGTGTATTTTGTGAGTTCAGACCAGGCCTTCAACATGGTGGTGGTAGTATGAGGAAAGGTTGACTGAGGGGGGTGCTCTGAGATCTTGGGCTGGAGTTCTGGGCAGCTTCTGCCTGTAGCTAGAAGGCCAGACCCCCTCACAGCTGTAGTAGGACTGATGCAGGACTGAAGAACAGGGAGGAGATGGGGTGGTGATGGGGATTGCGAACACTTCGTCACAGGAAAGGAAGGTGAGGATGTGAATTTATAGGGCGTTAGATTGGAAGAAGGAGGGGTTTCAGCCATGCTCCACCCCCCAAACTTCAGTTATAACATACCTACATTTACACCCCTGCTTGTGTGCTTAGTGTGTCACTCAGGAGCCCAGAGCCTCAACTGATTTTAAGATCCAGGGGGGCTTTGTTTCTGTCTTTTGCCCAGCACCCCAGAATCATAAACCCACCCCGATCATCCTCGATGTAGTTTTTGCCATTTTTTTTTGTGTAGACACAGATTATAGTGGTATATCATAAAAGTGAGAAGGTTTCTCACAAATATCACTTAACAGCTCATAATAATGATTTTTTTATAAGTGATTATTAATACATACTAAGTCATGATTATGAGATTGTAAGTAAGTCATATTTATGACATTGTAAATTATTATTATGAGAAACTAAGTAATAATTATTATATTAGAAGTCATAATTATGGACTGGGGACCAGGGTGTTTCCTCCCTTCCGCCCAATGAGCGCTGGGATAGGCTCCAGAACCACCTGCGACCCAGGAGGATAAGTGGCTTGGATGAGGAATGAGTGAGTGAATAAGTCATAGCTGAGATACTAAGTTATATTTCTGAGATTGCAAGTCATAATTATGAGAGACTAAGTCATTATAATAAGATAGAAAGTCATCATTATGAAATATAAATCAGAATTATGAGATACTTAGTCATAATTATGAGATTATATCTCATTATTATATCAAACTTCTTGTAGTCTAGTGGCCTCGCTGTGGAACAGGAGGTGGTGCCCAGGAGGTGGATCTCAGGACGGCTCTCACAGCCGTCATCGGGGCCTGGGGGACCGGCGCCTGGCGCAATGAAATAGATGATATCTCATAAAAGTTATTATTGTGAGATAGCAAGTCACAATTATAAAATATAAAACTAGAAATATAAAAATTAAGCATGAGATACTAAGTCATAATTTTAAGATTTCATCTCGTTATTGAGATATCAAGTCATAATTATGAGACACAAAGTTATTATTGTGAGATATTAAGTCATAATCATGAAAAATAAATAGTAAAAAAAAGATTTGTAATAATCGTAAGATATCTCATTATTTTGAGATAGCTAATCATAATTATGAGATACTAAGTCATAATTTTGAGATTTTATCTCATTAAGATATCAAGTCAGAATAGTAATAAATAGTGAAAATACATATTTTTCACTATATATAAACGGTGAAAATCATATTTATGAAATATAAATAGTAATTATGAGATACTATGTCAATCATAATCATATTATCTCAGTATTTTGAGATAGCTAATCATAGTTATGAGATACTAAATCATAATTATGCAAAACTTTCTCATTGTTGTGATTTTCCAAAACGGCATTACACACGCCACCGTCCAAATGTCCCTCGAGCAGATTACAATGAAAAACCACAGAGTCAAAGAGTCAGAAAGTCAATCTGTGAACGGTTGGAATCGAAGAATTGACTCTTTTGGAATCGACTCCTCACTAAAACACTGCATTTCCAAAGATAAAAGTAAATTATTCATGTCGGAACAAAACGAAATCATTCCAAACCATTTCTAGTGTCCATTCATCATGGAATGTTCATGCCATTACGAGGTTACAAGGTTTTTATTCTGACAGCGAC